CGAGGCTACCGTCGGCGGCGTATCGCAGCGCTGTTATCCGACACACGCCGTCAGCCCGTGCGTCGAGTAATCTCCCGGAATAGTGCGCCTTAGCCGGAATCCGTGCACGCGGCGCAGTGCCCCGGGCAGCCGCTCGTGCCGCCGATTCCGCTCAGCCGCCGCTGCAGGCGCTGAACCCTAATGGTAGCCATTGATTGGCGGTATGAATAGCATCAGTTGGCATATTCACCATTACCGGGGCTGGGACGAGACCTGCAAGGACTGTCGCGACAGAAAACCACAGAACAGTGCGTGAGCAACGTTGTTTGAGCGTTACCTGAATGGGTGGTGTGTCATGTGGCCTACTGCGGACACCTATACATATCCGCATTGTCAGAATCAGCGCTTTATAACAACACAATATATTCCACTTGCCCTAGCGACCTTAGCAAGTCGGCAGTGTTTTGAGCCGGTGTGCATTTCCACAATGTGGCTTGTTTTTGTGGCCGGTATCTTGACCTGAATCCAGAATCATACGGGGGAGGAACGGTATGCCAGACTGGGGACCTATTCTCAATCAATCCACCTACGATATTGATGTGGTGATCCCCTGCAAGCAGGTCGAATGTTGGTAAGCTAAACGTGCATAGAGCGCCTCTAGCGGAAAGCTACCGAAACGGACATTCCTAATATAGTGTAGCGTCAGATGGCACCACTTCTCAACAGATCTGTGCAGGCAGAATGTAAAATGCACTATGAACCGCATAGTGGAACTATGCGCCAATGTTGCTGGGGAAGAATTGATGAACAAGGCGAAGCGCAGCGCAGGTAACATATCTTCGAAATGGGAACGCCTAACTCGATTCCAAACGGTTTGCGCCACTCAGCAACGAAACATATTGCCAATGCTATTCATACGTTTATTTTGAAGCCAACAACTGAGGACGAACGCATTTCAAGACGAACACAGGATACAAAGAGCAACACCATGAGTTCAGCCATTCGGGCCACCAGCAAACAAGCCACTCTCGGTGCAGAAGGCTGTGCTCGTCATCAAAATATGGCCGCTTGCCACCAGAAGTGAGGACAATGAATTCCTGATAGTGCCCAATCTCACAGTTAGACTGACGTCTGCCATACGTACAGGGCTACCCAAGGCTACAGAACTCCGGGCTACCAGCCTTTTCCTGGGTCGAACCCGTTCCAATTCTAAATCTCGTCTGCGCTCGCCGTTGATATTCGGAAACGTCTTCGGGCTGCTACCCGTTCATCCCAATCACAGAGGACAGCGTAGCATCGCACACAATTCCAATCACCACCGTTCACCAACGACACAAAACACAACACAAACTGAATCCAAACACCACACCATATAGAGCAACACAACGACCCACAGGCAGCACAATACAATGCATAATGCACTTCTACAACCCTTGCGCGACGCTTGACCTCTGTCTCTCATTTACCGCCTGGCGTCAATCGTCTAGACAAACATGGGAGCGTCCCCTGTCATCTCGAGTCGCGTTGTGTCATGCGGCATTCGAGCAGTCTACGAATCATCGTGATATAGCGTGATGGTGGTCACAGCATAGCTTCTCCCCGTCGGTCCTAGGCCAGCAGGCGCCTACAGTTCGTCGTGGTAGGTGGGTTGGCAGGTTCAACAGGCGCCAGGCGCCTACAGCTCGTCATGGAACAGCTGCTCGCCCTCGGCCGAGGGCCGTTCGCACACCGCCGGCGTCTCCAGAGAGAACTTATACTCACACTTGGCCGGCTCAGTGACATCCAGTACGCGCGTCTCCTCACCGCAGGCAAACGTCACCTGTTCGGCAGAAGGGACAGGAGACGTCAGCTGATGTCAGGGAGAAACGGGTGAACGTCATGGGGAAGTGTTTGGTGAGGTCACCAGTCAAAGTCAGAAAGGAGGTCGAAAATCAGTGTCAAGTAGCGTAAGGACTGAGGAGAGGCCAGGGTTGGCACATGACGTCATTAGAGAGATCGATGATAGGAGAGGTCAACTTAAAATCATGAGCACTGAGCAGGTAACGTTCAAAGGTCTGGAGGCGTCGGAACCACATGAGGTCAGTAGGTCAAGATGAGGTGAAGACCATGAACCGAGAGGGCGATCATGCGAAAGTGAACAAATACCAATGCTAGGAATGCAGGCGTGGGATGTGACGGCGCTGCATGTGCCATACGGTACACTTGCTGACAAAGTGTTCTCCTCATATCACAAAACTCATCAAGCTGACACATTCGCGCATCATTCACCTTATACATCCATTGATCTTAGATGCACCGTGAAGTCATGATCGGACGACCTCCAGCTATGTAAATTACCCAAGGATATTGATGTGATTTTTCCACCTTGGCAACTCTCTGGTGTCCGGTGAACCATGAATGATTGTCTATCGCAGTTGATGCCAGTCTAGCGTGATATGCGTCATCCAGTAAACGTGACGCAAATCATCATCCACCGAGTCATTAAACAGTCAGGGAGTTCGCTGTCCGTATTATTCTCCAGGCATAACCCCGGTACCGACTGACCACCCGATGGACAGTGTAATCACCACGGAATCTTATCTCGGTCGGATGGTTGCTGAGGCTAAAAATTCTGACAAAGCGGACGAGCTAATCGGCGCAGCGCTCAGCCTAATGCCCAACGACAAAGGAAAAACTACCGCAGTCCGGCATACAGCAGACATTCCTCACCGCAAGCTGATTGGGACTGTCGGAGCGGCATTAGAATAACTGCAAGTCGCGACTCAGCTCAAAGATCCCGCCACGATTCTGTCCAGGATGCATGTCCAGTCCAGCTAATGCGTACCATACGCTTCAATGTAAGGTGTGCCAGCATCCCCAGATCAAAGATGGTTACAGGCTGATTAGCAGTCACGGTAGAGAGCATAAGGAAAGCGCATATGCATGATTCTACCTAAAAATAAACGCCGATCCTCTAGCATGCGTACAATAGCCTCTAGTATGCCGGAAGAAGCTTTACGAAGCATTAGAAGCATTAAATCATAAGAATATTGCTCTGTTCACGTCTCAAGAGCTTGAGAAGGCCATCCTTTCGGATCATAACGCATTTCGGAGTTAGTTTTCGGAGTTAGTTTTAGCATTTCACATCACCCGAAACAAGTTGGATCGAGGAGACGCCAATGCTGATTCTAATTTATTATGACGCATGGGCACTGGGCACTACACTGAGCAAGTCTCCCTCCATTTGTCTCTATGTGGATACCGGATAAACGTTAGTGGAGGTGCGGGCTAGGGAAAGTGACTTAACCCTATTAGTGGCAGGGGGGGGGGGGGGTTTATCCACCCCTCAGGTTTTTCGGGAATATCTCCGAAACCGCTGAAGCTACGATGCTGAAATTTTCTGACTTTTCCTAAAACTAAATTGGGCACATTCCCTGAAAATTTCAAGTTCATTACTTTACCAGGGGCGGCTCCAGAGCACTGGGAATTGGGGGGTCCTATTCGTGAAGCGAGTCATTTGGGCGAAGATCACGATGCTGCACCAGTTTTACGAACAGTGAATAAAAGGTATCATGTGATAACATATACAGTTATTGTGCATCCTCTTTTGACACGTTTTTGCTATAATAGGCGGATCCAGGCGTCCAAAAAGGGGGGTTATGTTTTACCTCCCAACATAGGTGCCCTGACACCGCCTATGCATTACCAATACAATTTTAGTCGTTCTCTCATAAGAAAATTATAACATAACAAGACCATTACCACCCTTTTTAGAAACAGTACCAACAAAAACCTTATTTACTATACTTTTTGTGTACCCCCAATCTCAATGATCTGTATCCGCCTATGATTTTTGAAAATGCATATTTTTAGGATCCATGTGAATTCCTGGTTCATTCTCTATCGATCGGCAAAAGTTGCGTTAAGATTGGTTCAGAAACCTGGCCGTGATAAACAGTCTAAAATGTATCTGCAATTTGCCCGTTTTTACCCCCCTCTACCCCCCCTATTGACATTTTTTAATTTTTATTTTTTAGAAATGTAGATCACGTTGAGCGAAATCGAATGCCGTTTGAATTTTGAAAATCGGCCCGTTAGATCTCGAGATATCAAGGGGGGGGGGTCGTAAACAGCCCCCCCCTGCCACTAATAGGGGGTAGCCAGGAGCCTGCCACTAATAGGGTTAACACTACAGGACTGAGCGGACATGAAAGCCTGATCTCGTTCCCTTTAAATACCAACATAGCTGACCAGACAATGCATCATGTGGCCAGAATTAATAACTTTTTATTCTTCGGAAAAGCAGGAGCCGCATCTGTAAAATTGAGCTTGTCGATAGGAATATTTCACCGGCAAAGACATTATCATAGGGTCAGCACATAATAATTGAAACGATGGAGGCAGTTCTTCTGACAAAATGCCACTCCTCTGTCACCGACAATGGGTCGGAAATGACAGGGACCGGGGAGCGGCCCAGAGCCCCGGCAGAGATGAACACTGGACATCGACGGCGGGCATCAGACTAGGACCGGTCTTCACCGTTACCAGGCACAAATCATCACAAAGGGGCATATACAAAGGCAGTCTGATGGCACTCGAGAGCCTTTTATTTGTAAGAAGATTTCTCACGGATTACTGGAGCTGTAGACATTTATCTTGGCCTTGCCCTTGAGATTCCTGTCGAGTTAGTTCAATGACAAAGCTTGTTATGTTCACCAGTTTGCAGCTTCAAGACATTAATTTCGCTGTCTGAAGTTTAAAGTTTCAGTGCCATCAGAGTATTTTCAAATGCCTACACTTCTCACTAAGCTATAGACCAGCGGTGGAACTTTGTTTGTTCGGTGAGGACCCCGCACAGCCAAGCTGACGTCGGCCGACCACCCAGAGCTGGCATCCAATAAAACCGAGCAGCGACAGGCGGCACAGCACAGGCGGCTCGACAGGAACAGAGTGCTCAGGGTGTCTGGTGTCCGTCAGACGACTGAGCTTTGGCAGCTTGTGGCAAAGGCTCTGACAGACAGTACTCAGAGCTCTGACAGACAATGGTCAGCTGTGAGACAATGGTCAGAGAATAGTCAGAGATGCGACAGACAACGGTTAGAACTCTGTCGACGGCGATTAATCACAACAGACGGTTAGTCACACTGTGACTAGCGTCATAAACGAGAAAGGGAGCTGCCGGGGGCTGGCGAAGCAAGATGACGGATAAGTTGCATGCATGTGCCATCCGACGAACCGGTGACTCACGAAATCGCCCAGACTTAGCACGGGTGATCCTAATGGACGCACACCTGCTACGCAGAATCTACTACCCAGAACGGATTACAGAAAACGCAACGATCCAATCAACCGGGATCAGTATCCCAGCTCGCCACTTCAGCGGTAAAACCGCAAGTGACAAAGCCACCCAATCACCACAGTGATTCGAACAGCACGATCTGACAAGATGACCGTGCCGCGGTCGATCCTCCCGGATTCCTGAGTCCGGCAGCAGGAGACAGACCGGTCTGGGACGACCCGGACCGCAGCGGGCAGGCCGGCGGGGCGCTCAGTCGCCCGTCATGCCCGCCGCGCTGCACACCGCGCCTCCGTCCCCGCTCCGGCGGCTGGTGCTGGCGGTGGTGACGGTGGTGCTGGTGGTGGTGGTGGTGTCAGTGCCGGCCGTTGCCCAGCTGCGGGGACCGGCGTTCGGTGCGGCGCGGCGGCCCTGCAGCACCCCCGACGGCCGGCTCGGCTCCTGTGTCTCCACAGCCGAGCCCGGCGGCTGCCCGGCGTTCCCCACTCTCCAGACACTGCTGTCAGCCAGACCGACGCTCTGCGCCACCGATGGACCGTACATCGTCTTCTGCTGTCCGCACGTCAGCCGGCCGGCCAAGCCGCTGCTGACTCTGTCGCCGCCGCTGCCGCTGGCGTTGCTGAGGGGCAGTGCCGCGGCGGCCGTTCGTCCCGCGACCATAGTCACCCAGCTCGTCACCCCAGAGCCCACGCGGACGCCGATTCCCACTAAACCCAACACCAGGACATCGCAGTCCGGGAGCGCAAAGACAGGAACACCGTCTAAACTGCTACTGCCTCCTCCTCTAGTGCCCCTGGCGGCTGTGAGAGAGGCTGCAAAGGCGAACGTAAGACCCGAGCGGCCATCCAACGAGTCTCACGCACTCAGTGTTACCCAGACACCGCCAACAGCAGTGCCGACAACAGTGCCACAAAGCGAGGCGACCCAAGACAATGCCACGGAAACGCCAGAAACTGTGCAAACATTGACCGGATCAACAGAAGAAACAACGAAGGCTGAACAAGCGGAGAAACAAGTGGTTCCGAAGTCCACACAGCCAGCTACCACTACAGCAAGGAGTACTCAAACAAAGGAGAAGTCGATATCGCCAACAAAGTCGCAAGACCTGTCAACGGAACAGCCACAGGCAGCAACGGAAAGCCAGGAACACACAAAGCAAAAGCCAAAAGTGGGCAAAACTACGCTGGAGCCAACGACAACGAAACCCGATGAAAGTGAAAAAGAAACGTCAACCAAAAAGTCAACTGAAGAACGAGAAAAGACGACCAAGAAGCCCGAAGTAACAACAGCAAAGCCAGAACCAAAGACCACAACGCTGGCACCGACAACCCGTGAGCCCGAGCGGACAACAACGACAGAGTCGACTCCAGCCACCAAGAAGACACCGCCGCCGCCGCCGCCGCCGCCGCCGCCGACGACGACGTCCTCCCCTCCTCGCCGACCATCGTTCAACTCATCTCCATTCCTCCTGGCCGGCGGTCTATTCGTGACGCCTCCGAAGCACCTGGAGGCACCCACGGAGGCGCCGCTGGTCGACCTCCCGCCGGTGCCGGCTCTCTCGGCGCTACCGGCGGCTCGGCTGGCAGGTGCCGAGGAGTGCGGACGGCCGTCAGCTCCCTGGGTGGCACTGGTGGGCAGCCGGCGTCACTGGCTGTGTGCCGGCGCGCTGCTCGGGCCGCGTCTGATACTGACTGCGGCGCGGTGTGTGGAAGGTCGGACGCCAGAAGACCTGGTGGTGCGTCTCGGCGAGGGTGGCGAGACGGTGATGAGTGGGGTGCTACGCGCTGTGATCCACCCGCTCCACAGCGGAGGGCGGCATGATCTGGCTCTGCTGCTGCTCGCTGGAGGACCATCAGAAGGAGGGGTCTGTCTATCCTCCGGCCGGCCCGCCGCCGAGCTGCGTACCCTCGGCCGCGGCGTCAGCCCGTTCGGCACCTCCGGTCCGGTGGGACCACTCCAGAGTACCACCATGTCCGAGGTACGCGGCTCCGACTGCGACGCCGCCTACCGCGTACTCCCCACCTACCGGCGAGAGTTCCCGCTCGGTATCAGCGGCACAGAGGTGTGCGTGGCGGCCGCCGGACCGGACACAGTCGAGAGGCGCTGTCCTCAGGACCGCGGCGGGCCTCTGGTCACCACCGGCCGGGGTGGCCGCCTTCAGCTGGTGGGTCTGATGAGAGAGGCGGCCGGGTGCGGCACTACCGTCTTTCCCAACGTGTACACGCGGCTGAGCGAGTACAGCACCTGGATTGGGCGCACAGCTGCCGAACTGGCGGCCTGATGGGCATGGAAGGAGCCAGTCCTGTCGCCGTTCTGTGTCACTGTGAGCTGCATCCATCGCCTCTGATGTGATTGGAAAGGCACCAACGACTATGCCGTGATTCCACAGTCTAGACAAGAGTAGTCGCCATTCCGGGATCAAAGCTGGCTGAGCTGTGTCGGAAGGCCTAATGTCAGGCTAAGATGACACTGACATGACTCCTGACTCAGTAATCCACACGGCGGACCGGTAATGGTGACGACTCGTACAGAACAAAAGGACGGCAGTGGTGGCAGTTGGGGCTGGCAGAATGGAACGGCTGGCCGTTCACGGGCATTAGAGAACCAGGACATTAGCCGAGCTCAAACCAGAGTCGACGACATAATCCCATCATCATTCACTGTGCATTACTGTCGGATCATTTGTGAGATCTCAGCGGATACCAATAAACAGCGAAACGAAGTCGGGTTTTATTGTGTGCAATACCGCGTTCTGGGAGAGCGGATGTATTATTTGTTCCACGGGGATATGTCATAAATGAGACGGAGATTGTACGACAGGCCACCGGGTTTTCAGATCCGTTAAGCCGTGGAAATCCCGATGAGTTATTTCTCTGCCCTGAGTCACGGAGGCAATACACCGCCGGTCGCAATCCTAGAGACCGTGCAAGACACATACGTACTCATCTCGGAAGTCAGTCGCAGTGCTAGCCAAGTCCTATTGCGTGCCACACGCAAACTGCTCACAGTCACTTCCCAGGAAATCAAGTTATCGTCGATCACAGAGGCGCATCATATATGCACGGAGTGAGACTCATCCTATTGGTAGAAGCCTCGAAGGTAGGTAGAAGCTCGATATGTCACTGTTCCGTGAAATATACTGCGTAGCTGCATGAACATAATAAGACAAAAAGCGGAAAATTCTATTCGTTTATGGGCGACCGAATATACCTATTAAAGATCAAACGCTGCATCAAGATAATTCGTTTTCTGGATGACAAGTTCTATCACAGATCAACGCATCGACCCCACTATGATTGTTTTGAGTTGAGAACAGCGTTATATAGTGTGAAGGGCACACAAACAACACAGCGATACATCGCGCCGACTGGCTTTGACCGTAATGGCTCTGATGGTGTCATGTCTATCGTCTAAATTATTGCAAGCACAGGCAGATCTTTCAAAATCTCCGGCGTCGCACTTTTCCATGGAAAATATCCTGTTATTGGAGTTTTAAATGATTTGACAGACTCCACTTCACCTTACGGGTACTCAAATCTTTTTCTGAAAAAAGCTGAAACACGCAGCTGTTTCAGAATCTTTCTATATCCAGGCTCGTTTTACGGAGCATAGGTGTTCTTTTTCAGACAGCGGTATGTTCTCACGGAGACAGACAGCATTCCCAGAGTTATCAGCACGATTTGTCGGGCACTTTATCCCCAAAAAGACAGATGAGATCGAAAGTAAAGCGCGTCAAATCCAGTGGCTACCAATCAACCTGCAGACATACTGTAACGTTTGCTTTAATCTTCGCCTGAGCGAGTTTGTTTCCCAGAGAATGCAATCATGGCATAGGCAGCATACTTGGGTTGATCGAAGTCGGGCACATCTGTCACTGACATATGCCGAGTTCACACAGAGGTAGCGGATTGCAAAGTTCCCGAGGTCCACTCGTGACCCCAGCTTCAACGACCGTCGAGTGTGTCTAGCAGCTCGAAGTCTACTGGACGGAAAAGTTGAGCTATGATCTTGTCATTCAGCGTCAGAAGCAGTCGCAACTCGCACGATGCTACCTTCGTCTCATCGCCTTCCGGGTTACCACGTGAGAACAGAGAGGCTGCCTGTCCACACTGGAACTTTGAGCGCGACAGTCTCAATCATATAAAATGTGTAAAATGAAAACGATCAACCTTGACAATTTAAGTCTATTAAAGCTATCGTAGCTTCATTACATAGTTATGTAATTGATAAGTTATTGCATATTCGTAATATACCGTAAAACTTGAAATGAAATTAAAACATATACTGAAGTTAATCTAATCTTCAGGTTCCGTGAATATTCCACTAAGCCTTACACAACAGTCCCGGTACCTCATTAGCGCCCTGAGACCGTTTCGCGAACGGCACCGCACAGAGCGCGACCAGCGCGGTACAATTATAGCACCGTAACACGGCAGGCGACGGTTCAATTACAGCTCGGTGGTCAGTCGAGCTCCACTGGCAGCTATGGTACCCGAACGTCGCCGGTAAAAAACTGCATCCGGACGGAGAACGGTAGGTACAGACAATCAGCGGTTCAAAACATACCCAGCCCAGCTAATATCGCATTACGTTCAAGGAAAACTCGCACTTCACAAACACAGCCCAGTAGCTATTACCATCCTTTTAGAACAGGTCAATCCTACAGCTACACCATGGACTTCTATGGCGTTGAGCCATTTAGCCCAACCACGGTGTAACTAAGAATAGCTGACACTGGATAAGGTTACTAACATATGATACCTTGCATTATTTTACGTTTCCACGTATTTAGCCTTGAAAACGCAGCGCTAAATCAAAACACTCCAAAGATAGATCCAGGACAGATAAATCCCAGATCAAATATACCCCAGAGCTCAGTATCTAAAGTACCCCCAGTTTAGATGAGTCGCGGCCCGCCAGCCCCACCCCGGCCTCCCACACTGTAGGTACTCAGTACTCACATGCGCCGAGCGTTTGGGGCCGTTCCAGCACTGCTGTCCGTTGTTGTACAGCTGCTGGGTGTAGCCGGTCTGTTCGGGTCGCTCCCAGGAGTCCCACTTGCCCAGGGAGGTCTCCACGCCGCCACTGCGCGGCTTCTGGGTGGCCTGAGGGGCGGAGCGGGGGAGACGAATAGTCAGGACTGGCTGAACGTAGAAGAGCAGAAGGGCGCAATCAGCGATGTCACAAAGCTTGGAGGATTTAGGTAGTAGTCTTAGACTAGTTATGCGATTAACAATAGTAATTACATGCGCTTAAGTAAAAGGCAGTTGACAAAGGCAAAGCCATTGCATAATTTCCGTTCAGAGACAGCAATCACCCCATCAAATTTAAGCAACAACAGTACCTATCACAAATTATAATATGTGCTACATAGTGCAATCGCTCCAGTCTTCTTACCTTATCGAACACGCAGAGTTTGTACTCGTACTCGCGGTTCTCGAGCGTGAAGCACTGCTGGTAGAGCGCGGCGAACGCCTTCTCGGGGCCCAGATCCAGTCCGGTGAACGATTCCACACCGCCCACCTCGCGTTCAATGTCACGCAGCTTCTGCTCGGCCTCCTGCAGCTCAGCGCGAGCCTGCTTGGCCGCTGTGGACGAGAGGGAAAAGAAGGGATTAGAGATTGCTCGTGCATCACTACAGGTATACTTTGTGCAATAACAGCCTATGTATACTTTGGGAGAAAGGATATTCTTTTATGATCTCGCACCTTATAGAAATGACCGGTGTGAGCCTAAATGGCGATAGGCAGCACGTGACATAGAATCGTCTCCGCGTTCTTAGAGCATCGCTTTTCTGTTCTCTAAGAACAAATGGTGCACTTTGCCAATAACCCGTCGTGAAAAGGGATATTATGATAGTGAGCATCACAGGTGCTTATCCAGGCTCACCATTCCGTCTCAATAATTTCGTATCATAATACGCTCCACTGTCCAAATGCAAGGTGTTTTCTAGATATATACTGCGCAGGTCATCAGCCAAGAAAAGAGTCCGTTTTCTTTTCCATCCAAGCCAAACATCGTGCTCGTTTCCTTTCGATCATTTTTAATAAACGACGATAAATCTGACAACCGGATCCCACGCACGGGTGGAGAATTGTGCTGGACTGGGGGTGCTCGAGCTCTCCCAATTCCACGCCGGCTTGGCTTTGGAGCCGCGGCCGGGCGGCGCGGGTCAAGGTCACCGCTAGGCGGCGGCGGATTTGCTGCGCCCGAGCACCCCCAGCTGGTCACAATTCTCCACCTATGATCCCACGTGACCGATAGAACCAATGTTACGGCGTCATTCAACGATGATAAAAACACACAACAGAGGTCACAAGCTGGGGATTGAGAAATCCGACGTCACAAGCTACATGACCGATATAGACCGTGAAAATAGCATTAACAGGGGAAACCTCTGGGATATAAATGCATACATTTCGTTGCATCATTACATCCTGACATCGTGCATCAAAGCAAAGTTAGCATGATTGATGGGAGCTGGCACGTAACCACTGGCTGCTTCGCTTGACTTTGTATGGCTAGCTGGAAAGTCTTAGCGGCTCACTCGCGATCCAGCTCTGTTGTACAAAATAATCGTTTACTCTCATTTATTTACCATTACCAATAACCTCATGTAACTACTTATCGAACAGCCAGCTTCCCGTGCCACCCGTCGCGCCACCTACCGTCCACGGCCGCCTGGGTCTCGGCGTCGTACTCCGGCTCGTCCCCGGTCGTCTCCGGCGCGCTGTGTCGCCGCCGGTAGTGTTCGGCAGCGTCAAATTCCTCCTCCTCCTCGTCTTCTTCCTCGTCATCGGAGTCGTAGGCAGGAGGCTCATACGAGTCCTCAACCAGCTGTAAAGGGGAGAGAGGCGGTCAGAGCCGGAAAGAGCAGATGGAGAGGCACCGTAGCCGGTGAGAAGCGGGATCGTGGGAACAAGTAGCAGCGTAAAACAAGAACTGAACAAAGGCGGGAGTGAAGAGGGGCGTAGTTCTCGAGAAATGAGGGTGGAAGGAGTGGTATGTCAAAGAAGGGTCAGACGTGGAGAGTCTGGGGGTCATGAGGACCGTTAATAGCCCGGAAAAGCGACGGGGGGGGGGGGCAGACCAAACAGTCGCATCATATATCGTTCGTCACGTATCGTTCGAAAACATCACGCATCGTTCGTTCGCCCCGGACAATGTCCATCACAAAAGAAGACAAGGTGCCCCAGTAACTGCGTCTCTTATTCTTTCTAGTGACCAGCAGTCCTCACCTCGTCCCTGTCGAGCTCCTGCACCGTTCCGGCTCCCGGAGTGACCAGATCGCCTGCGTCCACCTCTCCAGCCGCCAGCTCCTCCTCTGTCAGTTCCTCTCCCTCTGCCACCTCCTGCTGCTGCTGGTCGGGGGCCGCGGCGGGCGCGCCGGTCGGCTGGCCGCCCTCCTCCGGCACGTGAAGCGGGTGGAAGAACGGCTTCAGCAGCGGCCACGTGCTCACCACAAACTCCTCCATCTCCAGCTGAGGCAGGGTGGTGGGGTGGGCAGACGGTCAGAGGAAACATCCTGATACGAGTCATAAAATAAAAGAGAGAACACAGAGCACTGGATATAACAGCGTAGTACAATAGAAAACAAAATCAAGTGTACTTAATTATCTTTACTTAAATCCCAACAGTGACAGTTAGCAAGAGAAAAAGAACATTTTAAGCCCCAATTACTGAGGAACGTCTTCCAGCTCTCCGTTACCTCGTCCTTGTTCATGGTAATGGAGTCAACCTCGTCCTTGGAGACGACGCCGTCAGCGTCCTTGTCCAGCTTGGGCTCCCTCTGCAGCTCCTCGGTGGTAAGTCTGAGGGTAACGAAGGCATAGTCAAACACAATGTACTCGCAGGCGACGTCTACGTTACACGACGGTCGGCCAGCATGTAACAAAAGAACGACACAAAGCGGTCAGCCATCGAGTAACGAACGCAGTCAATCAGAATACGAGTATATCACAGACAACAGCCCACTGCCCAACTTCTGACGACCTAGTCTCACCTTCTGACACTGCTGAGTGCTAACCCCCTCCCCATTACTCCTTGCTCCACAACACCACTCAGCGAGGCTCCGCCACAGCCACTCACTTTCCGTCGCTGTTGACGTCCAGCCTGGTGAAGGTCTCCTCGGCCAGCTGCCGGTTGGCCTCCTCATGTTCCTGCTCCTGCTGGCGCCGCTGCTCGTGCCACGCATCCAGGAGCAGCCGCTCCTGAGCCTCCGCCTCATTTTTGGCCGCCTCACGAGCGTTCTTCATCTCCTCAGCTACTTCTTTCTCACGGTTTAGCTCCGCTAGACGGACCTGGCAGAGGGCGGTTAGAGATCACCTCCAGGTCAACTATGCAAAACAGCATGCGATTAGCCACGTGGCTACTGATGGAAAGACTAGAGAAGTTGTATACTACGTGCACAAAACCACGGACAATGGACACTCTTCTGTGTGGCATACAATTGTATTGTATTGTATTGTATTGAACAATCATGAGCGATCCACATTCTGAAAGTTCGTGGCGATTACTGCTCAATCTCACGAAGTATCTGAGCACCCTGTCACGCCATACCGAATAAAACTCTCACCGTGCCCCCAGTGATGCTCTTACCTGTTTCTCTGCCAGTTTCTCCTTGCCCTCCTCAATCAGCTTCAGTTTGACCTCGTAGCCGCGCAGGCGCATCTCGTCGATCTGCTGTTGGCGAGCGCGCGCCGCCGCGCCGATCTCGTCGCACGTGTTGGGACAGGCGCCGCTGGCGTACTCATCAGAGCCGTCACAGCAGTCTGCCGACACGCGAAAATAGAACAACGTCACGATGCATCACACACTCAGCTGGCAGCTTTTACCAGCATATACTCATTCATGGTATTGTGGCCAAGCAGTGCTTAAAAATCCAAGGCAGGGGTGGAAACTCCGGACTGAGACTCGCACATCAGTGAAAAAGTTAATCATAGCTAAGGGGGTAGCTGCACTGGGAAATACAGCATTACAGGTAGAACAGAAGCCGAAACTCACCGCAGACGCCATCATTGACCCAGGCGGAGGGCACCTCTGCGGCGGCGTGGCCGCGGTTGGCGCAGTAGAACGAGCCCACCGCGCAGGCCGACGTGCCCGGCTCGTCACTACCGTCCTCGCAGTCGCAGTAGTCGTCATTAACGTACTGGAACTGGATGGTGGCCGAGCCGTCCAAACAGGTGAACGTATCGCCCGCCTGGTACAGACTGGCCTTGGCCATGGAGACGCCGCGGGGCAGCGCCAGATCGGCCCCAGCGCCGGCCGCCAGACCGGCGAGGGCCAGCAGTAGCGCCGACAGTGTCCGGTGGGCCATCATAGCTGCAGGGGGACACAAAACAGAGATGGCATGAGACTAATGGAGGCTAGATGTGGCAGGGCTGCACTGCTGTTAAACCATCATCACTGAGGAGGGTAGGGTACCCTTTGCCCATCTGCCAACTATTTGTGATGGTTTGGTAAATGATGATGGGATTGCTCTGAAATCTCCTGTAGTTTCTTTTATATTAATTTGCCAATGGCTACGATTTTTTTTTATGGAACCTGCCAACCTAATTTGGTTTAGAAGTGGCCTACTTTGTGAGGTCACCAAGGCCAATTTCCACCAAAAAGTTGCTAAAACTCGACTCTGGCCAATGAGTTTTCTTATACAACTTTACAATTAAAACCTACTGATGAATTATAAAGTGCCACACAATAGGTACCTCAGATATAAAAGTACGTTTTTGACAATTGAATTAAAAAATGAAAAAGTGAACAAAAACAAATTTTCAAGATATTATGCATGAAATATAATACGGGCGTGAGAGTTATGACTGGTCAAGCATTGTACTGAGTTACAACTATGAAGTCCAAATTTGACCCCAAAATTAATCTCTTAAGAGACTCCTATGTTAGAAATTTGACCTAAAAAATATCAACACCAGGAACCTTTTTGACCTCATTAACAGTAAAAATACCTGAGTTAAACTTTAATTTGTCACTAACAGAATAGCTACATCAATCCTCTGTCAGTAGTTATCAGTCCTGATCTAAACTTGGTCCTCTTTAATCACAATTATGTTAAACTCAAAATATGAATATCTCAATGCTGCCTTTCATCTAGCTTTGTTACCTACCTATGTCATCAGATTTGAATGGGACTAGGTAGTATCTGTGTGAAGGTGCCAACATTTGAAGGTTGATGGCTGATGCCTAGCCCTAAACCCATTTTAGTGCAGGAATTTCACCAATCTTATCCATAAATAGGAATAGGTCTTCGGAATGTTTGCATCCATATTTGAGAACACAGTTAATCCCATATTTGAGGATGCTTGACCTACCATAGAATTTGATCAAGCCTCTTAAAATTCACTCGTACAAATCATGTGACAAATAGCCTGTGCCCTGTGGAAGGCAGCAAGGGAGAAAAATTTCTTAACAGTCATGTAATATCACCTCTGGCACCGTTTTCAGATTCCACCCGTTACTGCCTTGTTCAGCTTTCCTGACCAAAGATGGCAATATGCTTTGAGGCCTGTTTCAGCGTGAAATATTATGGAATATTATTCCATGATGCATGCGCAGTAGGCATCAGTGGGCGGAGCAAGCTGCAAGGGGCGGAGCTTCTAATGTATGACGTCATGGCAAAATATTCTGCCGCAGAATGGCATGACAGATTTTTGTGATGCCAATGGTTTTGCTATCAATGTAGCGCACCAAACAATTGAATTGTGGCGCGTTTATTTCTTGCGGGGATGTATTGGGAGGTGTAATAGCATAAATTGGTGAGTTAAATACTAGCCTACATAATATTTGAGAAACACAAAGTACAAACATGTTATTTTTTATTGGCTTTCATGTGAAATCGTTTCACACTGATGAAAGGTGATCGGCGCATTTTGCTGGCCGACAGAGTATTCTGTCACAAAGTTTCACAAAATATTATGCCGTCCGAGGTCTACAACGTCACCAGATGTGTGATGTCAGTTGTCACACTCGACAGAATATTCTGCCAGGGCTGAAACAGGCCTCTGTCAAAAGTTTAGGAAATTACAGTCCTATATCCCTTGGAATTTCAGGTCATGACATTTCCAGTTTTGAGACATTCTAAAGAAGAAAAAAACTTTCAGCGAACCGCAGCACCGGGAGCATCCTAATCGCTAAGCAATACAGAAAGGTTACCACAAGTTCAGCTAATATGACAAACTATCTCCAGCTTCTAAAATCGAAGCTTCACAATAATATACTTACCAAGTAATTCACGAGTTTACCAACCCAAACCGATAATAATTTCCCCAAAACTGATCCACCTAGAGCGGGTTCCAAATTGCCAACCGGTCTTCCTAAATAAATAGGCTGTTCGATAACTGAAATGCTGCCCTGCTGATCGATAATGGTTCGTCGGTTGCCGAGCAACAAAGCAAACAGCAACCACAATATTCCTGAATTTATCATCAGTTGCCTGGCAACCCGTCGTAGTGAATCTTTTTAGAACACAATACCGTCTTTTGCAAATAACGCAGGGAAGACAATATGTGACGCACATGTCAAGTATGAACTACTAAATTAACAACGTCGGCCGCATGTTACAAATATGAGCAACATAATTATTATAAAAAGGGATTTACACACAAAAGAGGAACTATGTGTTCACCTTGAACGTCCAATCACTTTTTTAGTGCACTGAAAAGCGTATGCTTTTCTGCACAAGCACAACCACGAAGGATCCGCCCTGTATCATTCCGCGCTGAACGTGTGTGGTCCTTTCGTATGTACACTCGGGGGCAGATTGATGTTCCACCACTCCCCACCCATCGGGCTCCCATGGCTCAGCACTGGCTGCTGCCAGTGTTGCCTGCCCTCAGCACCTGATCAGCACTGCCTGCCAGTGCCAGTGCTGCCAGTGCTGCCACTGGCAGCAGCCAGTGCTGAGCCATGGGAGCCCGATAGGTAGGGAGTGGTGGAACATCACTCTGCCCCCGAGTGTACCATGGACACAAAGCTCTCCTTTCATGCCTTTCATTCTGTAACGAGAATGACCGTTTGTCACATCATTCCATACATTAACACAGTTATACTACGTTCGTTCTCCGCATCCATTCAAACATATAGCGCGTGAAATTCATACCATTTCCCTCCTCCGTTAGTCTCGCGGTTCGAAGTCCCCGTTGCACGGACTACAGGATAAGCTAGCTCAGTCCTCAGAAACAATCAGCTAGGTTTTGATGATTTATTTCGCACAAATATATTATGCACATCTGAAGCATCTGTCACAAAAGCCACCCGAGCAGTTGCATGAGCAGCCGGAGAGGCGCGATAGAGCCCGAGAGGTCACCGGACTGATAGCGACGCGCGCTACATGTTGCACTACCGCGACTCCGCGCGCCGCTTTGGCAAGGAGCTGAGCTGGACTTCCTACCGAAGACCGAACTCTACCGACCGTCTCCTCCCGGCACACTGCCAGAGAGAGGTCGGGAGGGGAAACTGAGAGACATCCGCTCGTCAGGGAGAAGGTACTCGTTGAATATGACACAGCGCCTTAGCGCACGATCCATCAATCTGTCGCGCCTTCCACGTCTGCAACGCTAGCAGTCGCATCTCTGTTCACTTGTCCACCCTCGACCAAATCACATTGACAACATCGTCCGACAACGGAAAACAGATGCGTCACAGACCATCGCTAGCTCGCCCGGCGGGCCTATCATCGTCACACTTGGAATGTTTACAGATCTTCTTGGAAGATTCGCCTAAAGAGAGCATCGTAACTAGAAGAGAAACACTGGACCTCCGCAGCGGCAGGCACACTGAGAACATCGCGCGGACACGGCGGAACACAGCTGTAACACCGGCAGAACACAGCTGCTAACACCGACGGAACACAGCTGATAACATCGGCGGAACAGCTGGTTGATAGCACAGGCGAGCCCAGCAGCGACTGCTGCAACATCGGCATAACGCAACTGCTAACACAGCTGCTAACACTGGCATAACACAGCTGCAGCTGAGAACACCAGTCTAACACAGTTGCAGCTGCGAACACCGACCCAACACAGTTGCTGAAAACACTGCTAACACCGCGCCGGCCAACATGTAGCTGACAATCAGCGATCCAGTTACAGACATCGCCACAAATGGAGAATCGCGAAAAACGCCCAGAGAATGGCCTTTGCTACTAATATGCTTCACTTAATATTACAGTCTACTATTTCGTAATCTTTTGCAACATTTTTAGACAGTGTATTTGGCAGTTAGAAGTGTTCGTGCACCCGATAAGTCCCCTATTCTCCGTCGACAAACACCGAACAAACACAGCGGCTGTTGTTAACACCTGGCGACAAACAGCCTGCCACAAACAGAGCGCCGACAAACAGTACGTAGTACGTCACAACCAGAGCGCCAACAACAACCTTCCCAACGCTGCCACCGAGCATAGATCCCCTCACGCAGCTGCACAATGATCTCCGACCGACACCGAACGAAGAACGGTGCAGCGCCGGGCGATGGAGCGACGACCCCGCGGTGCACGGCTTTCTTGGGAGCCGCCCGTCAGCCGAGGACGCGACTGACCGGCTGACTGATATTGAGATAATATGGCTGATCATTCAGCGATTTAGGCCCTCTGAAGGGTAAGTGTGACATGGGTCCGAGATTCGATGGACAATGGGGCGGAGTACGTTTGAAAAGTGCAGCTGGGTACGGGTGTCAGAAAGCTTCCAACGGTTCAACGCATCCCCCGTTTCCATACAGCCGGTGGCGACAATAGCAGCGGCTTACAACACTACCCGAGATCTCCTCGATGTTCGCCCACCGCGCCGAGCGGCAACGGGCGAACACAGCGTGGGACCATACCGCCACACTGAATACCGGGCGACGGTGGGACGGCAGCGCCCAGAGCACGCGCAGACACTGAATGACACCGCAGTCAGCCGCGCGGCTGGGGACTCCCCGATGTCCACCGCAACAGACAGCAACAACGATCACAGAGCAGACCAACAACAAAACGTCCAACACCGCGACAATCCAGCCCATCCGTGAAAGCAAAATACAGGAATAAATCGTTACATTGAAGCACCTGAACGTGAGCTATATGTAAAAATCACGTAAACAAATAATACGCACCATACACTGATATATAGCCAGAGCAAATAAGCTCAATTACAGTTTGGCACTGTCAAAGTAAACGCATCCGACCCACCGGTGCTCCCTTACATAAGCTCCTCGCAAGACTAGATATCAAATATAGCGTCAGCGTATTACAACACCCCATGTGTGAGTGGGGTCGAAGATAACTGGCACAAATAAATACTAATCAAGCCAGTTCCATCATCCCAATAGCCACATGACTTGGCAAACGTTGATATATGACGCGGAAAGCATCACGTAACATTAACAGCCCTGACAATAATCCCAATAGTTAGTCGCCGTGTTCTTATCAGTTCCTCGTGGCAATCCCTTAACTGCCTCAATCGCCTCGTAGTTCCTGTGCTCTACACACCATCACGGTAATGCAACGCACGTTGCTAAATAAATTGAGCTACTCCACAATGAAAGCCTGGCGACCCGTAGGAGCCGCCTCTGCCACATGTTTTAACGTCGGCCCCGTGAATACACGACAGGAATACAGCTACTCTACACAGTCTGCGCCGCGGCTTTGAGCAAAGCAGCCCGGCACACCCGCTGGCCGAGTACCGGCCGGAAAGCTCGCACATCAAGCTCGCACAGTTATCACTAGCCCGGCCGCGGTGGGGGCTAATTCCGGCCCGTGACGGCGGGAGTTCGCCATGTTTGAGACTCGGCCCCGCCTTTTTGACTACCCGGACTGGACTGCCTACTTACGGGACTGAACCTCTGCCCTTCCAGCCCCACTTGTCAACTTTACTGTTATTGACTGATTGAGAGCCGTGGTCAATCTTCAAATATCTGGAGTCGTCCGATGACTGATCAGTTCGGACCAACCGACGTGAGCCAGATGGACTACTAGGGACCACAGGGGACCCCACAGACCAGGGAGGACCATCTCAGACTGATAGGGACCATTCCGGAGTACCCAGCTCAGTGCTGCAGGCTCGGGGAGCTGGCCAGCGGCGTCGAGCTGTTGTGGTCCGCCATCACACCGTTAATGAGCGCGGCAGCCTCCAGGGAAGCCGTGCCGGACGACTGGCCGGCCGGCGGCGGCTCCTGGCGACATAATACACGCATGTCAGACAGGTACGGAGGGACGCCTAACTTGAGGGAAACATTTGTACAAAACATTGTTCCAGTAAAGGCTCGAAAACGTTCGATAGCCAGCCCGGTCAACAACGAAATGACGGTAACTTGTGCATAACAACCAAAGCCAATCACTTGTCAAAGGTGATTGTAATCTTGCTATGGCACTTTTGAGCATTATGAATGTAATTATTACAGGGTGTTCCAAAAAAAAGTTAGCCCCTTACTTATATTGCTTTTATCTCCAAAACCGTACGTCCTACGATAATGAGAGACCTCTTGTTGGAAAGAAGGGTCAAAATCGGATCTAGTAGGCTACCTAGTGTGGCTCTGAATGATTACGTATTACACCGAGAACGACCAGAACAAAATGTGTTGCCAGGGCCTCGTTTCATAAAACTCTGCCGTAACTTACACCTTTCCGTATTTCACACCCTTTCAAACTACGGAGCGTAAATGAAGCCGTTCAGGGCTGGAGAAATGATTTCAGAGGTGGGGGGGACTAGGCCTCGAGGGGCCCTCAAGGAAAAGGGCCCCATGTGTCTCAAAGGGCCCAAAATCATATAACCTTCCAAGGGCGGATGTAGGGGAACGTTTGGGAGGGGGTCACAAGTCGGCCAACATGCCGGGTCTGATGGATGAATTCTGACGACCGGGGGGGGGGGGGGGGAGTAGGGAGCGAGTATGTCGAGATCAAATGACATTTGATCTTCGTCGTCTCTAAGATGAAGTTTTATCGTTATTAGTCACTCGGCTCAGTAGTTTCAGTTAGTGAAACCCACCTATAGGGGAAGTTGGGGCAATGCCGGAGTTGGGGCAAAGCCGAAATTCGAGATATTTCGAAAACCGTAAGACATGGATGCCACCTGTCAGTGATGCTCTGAAGCTTAAGTGACTACAATTATTGCATGTTTGTTACGAGTCGTCATTCGGAATACTTCGGCTGTGAGGGCGCCAAGAGCGTTTTCAAGGTACGCGTTCCTTGTACTACATGCGCCTTTGAAGCTGCATTTCTTACTCATTATGCTACCGTTTGTCTGGCCAATTCGGTCAAGTAATCTTCAGCATGTTTTTGCATAAGTGTGCTGCCTATTCGAAATTTATACGGCACGTTGAAAAGTTATGGGCCTGCAAATGAAAGTATGGCTGGCTGGGGTAATGCCGAAAACGTGCAATTACGCACGTTATAGCACGCTACGTGGACTTTACTGCTGTAGAATAGCAACGCGAATTTTTAGTCACACAAATTACACTTTCAACCGACACAACGGCCTGTTACCTATAAGGAATTATTTACCTGGCATTTTCTTATTATATCACACAATTATAACTCCCAGTGTGCACCAAGCGTCCTCAAGCTCTTAAAACGCGTGTCAGCTTTGACAAGTTCTGGATAAAGTTTGAGATAAAGTGGCAAAACATCAATGTCGGCATTCCCCGTAGATCATTTCTCCCATTTCGGCTTTCCCCGCAGTCCGGGGCAACGCCGAAAAAGTCACTTCTTTGATATTTTTAGTTTGTGCGCTTAACGGTATGCGAATTCATCAAATGCGCCTTGTATGTTTGAAAGGCAAAAGACTGGCCTCTCGAATGACGCCAACAAGAATAGCTAATGTTGTCTACCTTGCGTGCTACGGGCGTCAGAAAAAAAGTATTCGGCGTTCCCCCAACTTCCCCTACAGGGGCGTCGCTACGGATTTTTTACTGGGGGGGGGGGGGGGGCGGATCGACGTACTTAAAAACCCAGAAGTAGATACAGTTACCTCACTTTTAGCTTAATGCATTAGTAGCATATAGTCATGATCTCTTTTATTGACCTGTTTATGAATCGGCGGCGCGAAGCGCCGCAAAAATTTGCAAATAAAATGTCCAAACACAGCTCTAAAACACAAATATTACAACCCTTTTAGTTTAGCATGCTAGTACAAACAGGAGTTCCTTCACAGTACACATATATGAATTCCGATTCAATTGGACACGGTTGGTGTTATTACAGTCACGATCTCTCTTATTGACCTGTGCATGAATCGGCACGTTTGTCAAAACACAGCTCTAAAACACGAACATTACAACCCTCATAGCATGCTAGTACAAGCCGGAGTTCCTTCACAGTACACATATGAATTCCGATTCAATTTGACACGGTTGATGTTATTACAGTCACGATCTCTCTAATTGATTAGTGTATGAATCGGCGCAAAGCGCCGAGAAAATTTGCAAAAGCATTTGTCAAAACACAGCTCCAAAACACAAATTTTACCACCCTTTGAGCATGGCAGTACAAGCCGGAGTTCCTTCACAGTTACACATATGAGTTCTAATTCAATTTGTCACGGTTGGTTGGTGTAATTACAGTCACGATTTCGTATTGACCTGTACGTACATGAATCGGCGGCGCGAAGCGCCGCGAAAAATTTGCAAAAAGATTTGTCAAAACACAGAGGGGGCCTCCTCTCTACAGAGGACCAACTCTCTACTGCGGGCCTCCTCTTTTCGCAAGGCCTCTTAACTACAGACGGCCTCCTCTCTACAGAGGTCTTCCTCTCTACTGAGGGTCTCTCCCTTTCAGAGGGCCTCCTTTACAGAGGCCCTCCTCTCTTCTAAGAACCTCCTCTCTACAGAGGACCTCATCTCTGCAAAGGGCCTCCTCTCTTCAGAGGGCCTCCTCTCTACTGAGGCGCGAGTCCTCTCTACAGAGGGCCTCCTCTCTACTGAGGAAGTCCTCCTCTCTACAGAGGGCCTCCTCTCTACAGCGGGTCTCCTCTCTTCAGATGGCCTTCTGCTTTCAGGCGGTCTCCTTTCCACAGAGGGCCTCCTCTCTATACAGGGCCTCCTCTCTACATAGATCCTTCTCTATACAGAGGGCCTCCTCTCTACGGGGGCCTCCTCTCTACAGAGGGCCTCCTACCTACAGAGGGCCTCCTCTCTACTGAGGAGTCAGAGGGGCCCTAGCGGTCAGACACAGGCACTAGCGGGCGGTTATTCAGGAAGTAAGAAGGAAGGAGAAGGAGGCCTCAGGAAGTAAGAAGGACCCTAGCTGTCAGGCTGGTCAGAGGGCCCTGAATGTCCTGACGTGATTTTTTGGATTCCCGTGAAGTTCTTACGCCTCCGACGTGATTTTGGCCCCCATGGGCCTTCGGCGCCCCACGGGGGCCTCCTGAAACCCCAATGGGAGGCGCCCCGTCCCCCCTTGGGTACGTCCCTGCAGGGCCCACGCCGGTCTCCGAAGGTCCAAATTGCCTCTTGAGTCTCATACTGTCCAGTGGCCCGATGGTCTTATGATGGCCTTTGAGGTTTCTCACCGGCTTCAGAGGGCTCACATCGACCTATGAGGACCCCGCGCTGGCCTCTGAGGGCGCAAAATGTAAGAAGGTAAGCATGCCGCGTAAGTAATGCATAAGTATTCCGACATCTGAGGGACTCCGACTGCTTTTTGGGTGCCTACAGCCTCATACCGGTGAAATGAGGGTCCCTGACTCCCTACCTGTCTCTGAAGGTCCCATTTCGACATTCGAGATCCTTATTTTGGGTCACAGCAGGGGCCCATGCAGTTCCCTTAAGGCCCAATGCCGACGGTCATATAGCCGCTTCTGATGGCCCCACGTCCTCTTTTGAAGGCACCTCAGGGGTCACCAGAGGTCTGCCAGGGGCACCACCGGCCTCGCAGGGGCACCTTCGGCTGTCAGGGGCACCTTGGGCTGTCAGGGGCACCACAGTCCTGTCAGGGCCCAGGGGCCCCAGCGACCTAGCAGGGGCATTACAGGCCCGTTACCACAGTCCAGCCAGGGGCACCACAGGCCTGCCAGGGCCCAGGGGCACTAAAAATAAAATAAACAATATAAAAAACAAAAATGGTAACACGGCATCACCAAAATTAAGTGACCGAAATCCGTTGAGTTTTTAATTTTGGGTATAGGTAGGGGCACCACAAATTAAATTCATGACCATCTCCTTGGAGTTTTCCTGTATCATCCCCTGGTGCTCGCACGGTTGAGACAAAAACGAGTAAGATTCTGGCCTTCAATACGCCTTTTCACGCAACACGATCCAGACAAAAACAAAGGTATTAGCTCAGATGTGTTTGACAGGTGATTTTGAGCATGCAAGACGGCGTCTATAACGCATTTAGGTCTTCGGCTTTTGGAGGGGGGTCAACTGACCCTCTCAGACCATTTGGGGGGTCACGACCCCGACCCCCCCCCCCCAGGATCCGCCACTGAATTATTCATGCGTTGCTGTACATAGGAGGTATGTGAAAGGAAAGTATGCCTAGCAAACACCTTTCTGTCAAATTTTCAACAGGTCCACTACTGGACCTGGACTGCACATGGACTCAATGAGGGCCCATGGCTCTCTGATGGTTCACGGTCATCACGGAACCATTAAGGGCCCACTAGCTTGTGGTGGACTACGACTCATTGAGATCTACTCACTGATATAGGGCTCCGATGCTTGGAATGTGAGATTCTAAACACTAATACAGAACAAAATGGCTGATTACTTTTTTAAAACATAAGTCAGAAGGGCCCACTTTCGTTATATATTAGGTCCCCCCCAGGTCCCCCCCCAGGAAATGGAATTTATGGGGCCCGAGGGGGACGGTCCCCCCCGGTCCCCCCCGGTTTCTCCAGCCCTGAAGCCGTTTCACAAAGCCAAAACTGGAATTGTTTACACCTCCGTAACTAGCATATTTACGTCTGGACAACGAGTTGCGTTGGAGAGGCCGGAAATAGTGGCGATTTCAGGACCGCAAGAATGGACCGTCATTGGAATGATTCTTTTTTAAACCGTGCACTGTTTTCGGCCGGAATTTCATTGTTACTACAAAATATTTTTTAATTACGTTTCCACCAAGAATGAATGCCATCAAGGCTAAATTTTTACTACTATTGCATTTTGTCAAGAAGCATATAGTGCTGTTATATTGCAGTTTTAGCGCGTTTGTTACAAAATATGAAGCGAATAAGCGT